CTTTTACTTAACAAGTTTTAACTTTTTATTTTGTTTCCATCGTCAAACTGCTTTCTACAATTTTTTTCCTACCCTTTAAAACATTTATTTACGCGAAAAATAACATTTTTTTGGATCAGGTTGATGGTAATTTTTAATTTACATGTTCATTACAATAGTCAAAAAAGATATTAAGTTATCTAAACTCAATTGATAGAAACAAGCATTCTATTAACGTTTGGGAACAAAAGTAAAAAGTTCATTCCTCAATCATCAATAATCTGAATAATCAACCTTTTAAAATATTAAGACAAGTTTATTAAAACATGTTGACCTGTTAATTTAAAACTATTTTTTTTTAATTAAGAAACTAGGTCATTTTTTTTGTTATTTTTTTTTTATAAAAAAAAATTGAAAACTGAAAACCGTTCAACCTACAATCCTTTAGTCAATAAAACTGTTACATTGAGCTAGTAAAATACTTAATAACGAAAGTGCACAAAAGAATACATATTCATCTGGATAAACTTGCAAGCTATGAGCTGCTATTATATGTAAAAAAAAAACTGGAGGAAAATCAAAATCACCACAAACTTACAACTACTGCATTGAAAAAACTTTCGTCTGCCATTCTGGTTTTAGATGTAATTTTTTTCACGTCACCATTCATCTTACACATTGTCATTCTCCTCGTTGGCACTATGTAACCTTCGAATCAAATTTCAACGGGGACACGTAGTCGAGCGTGTAGCGAACTTCTGGTATCCGCAACGTGCACGCATCAAAGCGCACGCAAAGTCCCCCTAACGAATCGCCGGGATCCAATTGTGCCCCTTTACGCAAGTCCAGCCGTTTCTCTTAATTGATCCATCCAAACGCTCCATCATACATCGAACCATCAAAGGACAGGCCATCTCGACCTACCCGTTTCTCTATAGACAGGAAAAAAAAAAAAAAAACTACCAAACTAGCGATAGCAAGTCTGTGTATTGCTCCTGGTGACCGTCACTGTACATCTCTATACTATCTGTATACCTTACTATGCGCGTAAATCGTTATGCATAAACATAATGTGCGTACATTCTCCTGTCCTCTCGCATATTATGGTAATTGACTGTGCCATGACTTTGCGGTAGTTGAAAGCAGTCTCGCCAGACCGACAACCCCCTCGGACCATATCAATTACGCGGACGCATCACGAGGTCTCGAAAGTGGCGCTCGTGGAGCAAGGGAGGATGGAGTGAACGAGTTTTAGGATGGGGCCTTTGATCCGCGATACACGCGCATATCCCGCGTATGTATATACGTATGGCTGTAACCTCATCTGGTGGGCTCTGTCTGGCTGTCTGTGTCTAATCTTCCTGATGGGATTCGCGGTGTTGGGCGCAGCATCTCATCATCTACTCCAACCATACAGACATGGAATTGGAAAGTACTGCTCGGGGGTTGGAGGAATGCAACCATTTTTTCTTTTTCTTTAAAAAAAAAGTAATAACAATATTCGAGGTAAAAGACGTAGGGGAAAGTATCAGGCACTTTGTGATAAATATTCATGAAACGTTTCAAAATTTACGACATAATAGCATGTCGCAATAAGTAGTTTTATCTATGTGGTAAGTAAAGTTTGGGTGTACGTGTTCTCATTGCCCGCTTTAAGTATAACTACCGCGTATGGAAGGTGGCGCACGTATCGTTGTGTCGCACACACATTAATCTAAAGTATTAGTTGCAGTGGTGGCTTATCAACTTTTAACTGATAATAACAAGTTCGGAGTAGATTGGGAAGATACGATGCCATAACGAATAACAGTGTTTTTTTGGCCTACATGTTTCCTGATTTTCGGTGTCGTATACTTGGAGATCGAATAAACGGAGCCGATACAACAACGTTATCAAACAATCATGTGATAAGATTGATACCGAACATTGACCGTTTGGTATTGTAATCAGCAACAAGTCTATGATGCATGAAACGAAACAAGAAATGCTTTAACCAACGTTATTATTTGCACAACAAACAAGTTTTAACTTAATGAAAATAAACGCAAGTAAAAAAAAATCCTCTGTGCAGATTCTTCAAAAAGCAAGCCCAAACCCTTCATTTTCGTTTCGTTAGATACAAATACGATTTTCGAGAGACAATCCCTTTAAACAGCCCTGCAGCTTTTCTCTTCTCTTTATCTCCCAACTCTCTTTAGAAGAGGCCTAAGTGAATCTTATTTATGTAAATACATTAAAAGCCTGAATCGGATTTTTCCTGTTCCAACGTTGGGTAATTCATGAAAAATCGATAGGCTGCGACCCCTGCGGGTGCATGCATTTACATTTCCCTCGATTTCTCAAACGTAAAAAGGGTAAGTTTGCTTGGATTGAATTAAGTGGAACAAGGACTAAGATGAACTGCGTATGGCAAACGACGTGATCAGTTTTTATAGTTTTGCAACTAAATTTAAAGAAAAACACGTATACCATTGTTTTAAATCTAACGTTTTCTGCTTGTTTTTTAATACTAAACATATTAAAGTCAATTTAAATGTACCTACTTAACATATCTAACAAGTTTTAAAAGTTATCGAAAAATTGATGGGTAAAAAACATTTTCTTTGTAAAATACGTATTTACTGCTACTGAGAATACGCCTGACATTTCATTGCCTAAGTATCCCAATCAAGAAAGATCGCTCACAGCCTTTTATAGAATTTCATCCAGAATTAATAAAAAAAAAGCCATATTCATAAAAAAGCAGGGTCTTTTTTTAGTATAGTTTTAACAATTGCAATTATCTTATAACTAATTAAATCAGATTATTTTTGAAATATGATTTTGTTTGTACCAAGATTAAATCGTAAAATAGTTAAAACATTTGTTGTACTTACCTCTTTACTTCATTTTCATACGAAATTTGGATACTCTTTCAAGAAGATACTTGGTGAAAACGAATGATGGACATATCTTGTAATACTAAACAACGTCCACTTTATCCAACCTGAAAATATAAATGAGTTCCGAATTTTTAAAACTGGCTAAAATTTTACATTAAAAGATAGTCAATAATGTAAACATTGAGCCCTAGCTCGATAATGTAGGTCATATCATTTCAATACTGCGTAAGTAGTTTATGAACAAATTCAGTTTTATTCTAGATTGGTAATGTAAAAATTTAATTTTATGTAATATAAAATCCTGAAGAAAATGTGAGTGACATCGAAAATTCAACTTTTTATAAAAAAAAAAAGAAACAATAATCTTAATGAACAAGCTTACTGATTGTTTTATTTTATCAAGTTAATTAGTTTTCATCGTAGGTTTACCAATTTCATAAGAAAAAAAACTGTACACTAATAGTTAACAAGTATACGCATTTGTACCTGTTTCACAAAATGATTAAACATTTGAGGTGTCATTGTAAAGAAATAAATAAAAAAGTGCATTGATAATAAATAATAATTTATTTTTTTGGACCATATTTGTACCTGTTTCACAAAATGATTAAACATTTGAGGTGTCATTGTAAAGAAATAAATAAAAAAGTGCATTGACAATAAATAATAATTTATTTTTTATCAAATTGAATTTTTTCCTTGATCCAATAGATTGTAATGCACACGCGCATGATGCAAATCCTCCTAGTAATGTCATCTAAAAAAAAAGCGCCTCAGAATAGGCCCGCAAATCCGAACAATACATTTTTATTAACATATACTTCAGCTATCGAATCTGCACGCTATAAATACATATTTGTATTCGCACTGATAATTTCTGAAACGTAAATATCCCGTCAGTCGGAAATTCAATTACACCAAGATCCCGTCTCGAGCGTATACGTACGTTCTCTTCTGCACCGATATATCTTTACGCGATACACAGATACCTCTATCCTGCTCTATCGAATACTCGAAATCGAAATCAGAGTTTATCTGCTTTACGCTGTGCATCGCTGGTAGCAGCAGCAGCAGCCTAGTTTTATCTCGATATATAAATTTCTGCGTCCCTTACTGATGGCACGTACGTGATAAGCAGATACACAAGTATATTGTTTCTTTCTCTCGATACCGTCGCGAGCCCGATAATCGCCTGTATTTTCAATGCCAGCTTACTTTTTAGTCTCTCTTGCGCGACACTTTGATACTTGATGGAATAACTGGGGGCTATATGTTTTTATGACGATTTTTCGATCGACTTTACAATTTTTCGGAGCACTTTGTATTTTATTTTATCGCCTCCTCTTTTTTCCTGCGTTTGACAATTTACCTGATAGGCTCTTTATATTTTAATTGCTCTTTAGTTTGCCTTCGGAAAGTCATTCTATGATACTGCATGCCATCGGAACGTATAAACTAATCTCTGGATTTCCTAAAAATTTGACGTGAATAAAATTTGCGTTCAAAATCTTTGTTCCGCTATCAGAGATAATTTTTTTCAACGTGTAATACTTTTTGCTACGTTTATTCTTTACTTTGATTTTTGTGATATTACTTCCGGTTCAAACAGATTTTAATCACTCCATGTAAAAATTTGACTAATCATCTCTCCATAATCTTTGCTTCACAAGGAAGTTAAGTAACGTCAGGATATACACATAAAGACTTCTGCAGCAACTAAAACAAATTCTGGTTAATTTAATTAAGCGACCTTCTGTAATTTTTAGAAAGAGTTAACTTGGTAATGACTCATGTCATAGCTTGTTAACATTGAACTCCATTTCAAATTACCAAACAGAGAAACTTCGTGCAATGTCAGTATCAAAATAAATTGCTAAGCATTCGCATATGTACATTAGTTTTATTTCACGTTTCCAGATTCATTGATGAACAAAAATCAAGTAGCGCAGTAACTCATGAAACCCGAGATAGCCTGCACAAAATTGCTGAAATCGCGCTACAAAAGTACAAATAGACAGCTAGACTCGAAGAAAAGAAAAAAGCGAGAGAGTGACGATTAGCCACAGGCAGGGTCGAGATAAGAAAGCTCGGGCGCGCAGCCATTATCGCTCGGCTAGCCAACACGTTGTATAAAATCATTGTGACTGACACGAGGCATTCTCATTGTAACGGATAGTGACCACTTTGTCGGGATGGCGATCTTGGCTCGCATTTTCTTGCTTGTCTTGGCGCTCAGGGCTAGCTTGTGCTTAGCCAAAGGTACGTGCCTTTATTTCACCTTTTTTTCAGTAGGAACATTTGTTTGCTCGGATAGCCAGACTTAAGTGTGGGTCGTCATTTTTATTAATGCAATTACTCGTTAAGTGAATATTCTTATATGGTCGATTTTGTTCTTTATTTCATAAAAAAAAGAAGCAGTATGTTTCTCTTATTGAAATAATCTTTTTCTAGTCGTGAAAGTTTCTTCAGCAATCAGATAGATTAAAACTCAAGATAAGTATCGGTGCAGGTCGACACATAGCTTGTGACTTAATTAGTAGTACGACTGCAATGAAAAAAAAAAAAAAAAAAAAAAAATGCAGACTGAATGGTTTTGGTGGTTAAAATCAACCATCATCGACACTATATGAATAAATTTATCCACTTCATAACTCAAATGTTAAATTGATTTCAGTGAAAGTGCATACAGTATACGTTGACTTGGATGATTATGTGGATTTGAAGAACATACATCAAACTAAAAATGACGTAATAAGCTGCAAGTTAGTAACTAACAATGCAACTGAATTCGTGCTTTACCCTATTCCAAATGGTGGAAATCGACCAAGTGAAAATAAAAAGTTTTCTTTCGATAAGTACAGTGAATTCTGTACAGTTCGAGTGAATAAAATGACACAGACGGACTCTGGAATCTGGAAAATAAATACGGCCATAAAGACTCCGGAAGGTACCATGGAGAATGTTGTGTTCTACAATATCCAAGTTAGGAAGGTAAGGATGATCATAAATGCCGATCACTGACAACATTACTTTTCTGAATACGTGATTGAACCATTCTTAATTTTACAGATAGACAAATCATTAAAATCGCAAACAATCAACGTTTACCAAGATCAGCAAGTGTCACTTGGCTTTCAAGACAGATTTAGCGACTTGTTAGCTTGCAAGTTGTTGAGTCCCGAGGTAAAAAAATTATTACCAAGCTACGCATCTGAATTCTTAGTTATTAGGTGGCAAATATCTCGGATCGAAGTGTTTTGTTCGTGAATACACGGTCTGAGCCACACCTCATTACTACCGACTATCTGAATGCGTGTAATACGGTTTCATGTACCGCGTTTTTCCACCGGTAAAAAGTAAAACTTCGAGTAGTCGATCCTTGCTAGTTGGCCCGTGGACGTGTAATTTTTTTTCCGATGCACCATAATTTCGAACCTTTACGAATAATGAATAACTTTCAGCTCTTAGAATACAGCTTGGAACCCGACAATCTATCAAAGATATCGAAAGTCGGAAAATGCGGCGTCAAGATGGACGTTAAGCCCAAAAACACTGGACGTTGGACTTTAATAGCTGACTCGAAGAATAACACTGCTACCATCAAGTCTTTCGACATTATAGTCAAAGATGAAAAGAATCTTGTGCTTAATCGGGTAAGAATGTAGTTTTCAACATCTTCAATCTGATAAGAAGCTGTATTTTAACTGAGTTGAAATCACATCAATTATCATTTTTTCTCTAGACAAGCTTTTCTTTCAAACGTGGCCGAAAAGCTATCCTAACAGTTGGTAGATTCATGGATTTGAGGATCTGTATGTTCGAGGATCCGTATGGAAAATCGTATCCTATTATTGAATCAACCAGGAGCCGTGAGTGTGAGTTAGAAATACCAAATGTGAAGGAACATCACGCTGGCCTTTGGAAAGTTTTCTACGGATTGGAAGGGTACCAGAGTCTAGTTCCTCAAGAAATCGAACTCAAAGTCAATAGTAATGACCTACCATTAAGACCACTTGAGTTTTTGTCGTTGACTAGAGTTTGCTTGTAACAGGGACTTTTTTTTTATTTTAGGAGAAATTACTTTCAACAGCAGCGTAGTTCATAGAAAGAATGGTGACATAAATCTTCTATGTCAAGTTCGGGGCTTAAATATGAGGTTTTGTAGTTTTGTCCGACCGGATGGTAAAGTTTTACACATGACTTACGGAATAGGTGACAAAAAGTAAGAACCAACTCCATGATACTGTCTCTTTAATAAGATACTTTATCATTCTTATAAATATCATATTTAACTCACAAAATTGAGCAATCCTCTATTGCAGCCATTACCAGTTGTTGATTGTTTTCAGGTATGAGTATTATGGAAACAGCCTAAACATCGAAGATTCAATGTTCAGTCACATAGAAGATTACGATTGCGGTATAACCATTCACAGGCCAAGCTCGGAGGATTATGGGTCGTGGAAGTGCTTGTTTAAATTTTCAGAACCATCAGTTACAAACGGAAGAATATTAAAAGTCACGCAACCAGTAGATTCTAATCCTGCCACCAATACAAGTATAACAACGAAAAATGTGTATGTCAAGAAAGGCGATTCTTTTGAGGTAATTACTTTACGACGTGTTTTAGACAATAGCAAACAAGAATATTTATAAATGATAAATTTTATATTCAATTAAGAGCTGATACCAAATGGTTTACTTAAATTAGAAAATCGTGTTTTCCCAATTGAGTACGTTTGAATCCAAGGCTTATTGATGACCTTCTTTTAAAAAGAATTTTTTTGCAGAACACGAATACTTGGAAACAATTATTAATAATAGAGATAGCAAAAATATTTCTAACGAAAAATATAATTTAAGCATAATTTATACATGATTGAATCATGTGATTCAAGGTCAAATGCACTTCTCAAGAACTCCTGAGGTATTGCTGGCTGCGTAGTCCAAATGGTACACTTTACAGTGTTTCGACAGAGTCAAGTACTTCGAAAAATGTACTGAAATACAAGGGCGCAGGCCTTGAATTGGGAGAGTGTGGCGCTGAAATCAAGGTAGCAAATACCAACCATTCTGGTCAGTGGACCTGTAATTTGGGTGTCAACGGGTCCATTGAGATTCGTGAAAGTTTCAACGTGACTGTCAAAGGTATGGATTTATAATTAATTAGTAAACTGAAATAATCACCAGTTGTGATCAGTAAACATTACAATTGTTACTACATAGCATACATTCATACGCAACAGCGTTCACACACACATAATTACAATCAACCATTTTAGTTGAAAAATATATAGTTTTATGGCAATTCAATGGTATTGAAATGGTATTGGCCAAATTTTATAAAAAACACTATTCCTTACTGGAGAATCAATAACATGATATGCATTGACGACAAAAATCTTTACTGTGTAACAAAAAAATCACAATAAGATTTTAATACGAGAGTACATTGTTTATACATCGGAACATTGGGGCATTTAGGCTTCTTTCGCCCTTCTACTACTAAAATTATAGTTAATTAATAGACAAAGCATCAACGATTCAAGAAAATCTTGTGAAGAAAAGCTAGTAAATGAAAAAAGCTTGCTTTCAAAACATATGTAGTTAAAAATTTCAAACATAAAGGCAAGTACAGGAGAAAAGTAAAGGCAGGTAGTATATTTTAAACCAAATTTCTCGCGCAAACTATCAAGAAGAGGTAGTGTGTGTGTGTGCGTGTCCTCTAGTTACTAAACTAATATTCAGAGAAGAGGCCTGCTTATTGGATTAATCAGAATCGTCTGGGCGCATTAGCGGGGTCCTCCCGTCTTACCTCGAGCCCTTTCCCCTAATTCATTACTCCCGTGGACTTAATATAACTCACGAACAAGTATCTAATACTCTCTGCCTCACTCGCACTAGCTTTATTATTACAAGCAGAAGGATCGAAGGAGTTTCTGTCTCGAAATACATATACGTGCAAAGTGCCGTGGAAATTAATTAACTAAGTAACAGATAAGAGAGGGAGAGACGAGGGAACTGGGTGGAGTCGACGATAAGCGCTGTCGTTTCACCTCTGACGCAGAATCGATTTCGGGCAGAGTTATTTTAGGTGCGGAACCGCGGAATTTCATTCGAGGATGCCAAAAAGGTTCTTCGGTGATAAAAAGATTTATCAATCCTACTCTTCGTACGTTGAAATGACAGTAGGGGGTCTCATGGCTTTCAAAAGTTCGTTCAACTCGTAAACATGGGATACCTGATAATAATTACAAATATATGTCATATCTGGAAAAAAGTACAACATTTTGTATTGACATGTTTAAATCGCTTCTTGTAATTTTTTTATTCGTAGCTATGTAGATTTTTATGATTTACTCCCTCCCTCTTCCTGATAATATAATTTTACGTCAAGTTAAAACATCCATACAACATTAATCCAATGATTGAGCAACTTACTTTAGTATCATAATGGTCCGTTTCGCCAGGCCATGACAATAAAAACATATGCTGCTCAATTTATATTTATAAGTAGTTGAGTTACAATTTTTGCTCTTATCATATTGTTTGCCGTAAAATTATAGAGGAATATTTTTTAAATTTTATTTAAAAACACTACAAACTGTCCTCAGTAAGCAGACATGGTTAATATTTTAGTAATTTAAATAACCATAAATAATGAAGAACATCATATCTTCATTGAATTTTGATGCAATATTAATCAGTATTTCCGTGTTGCAGATACGCGTCTGATGGCAGCTCAAGACGTGATTACAGTCTCGAGCGAGGGAGGAGTTGATCTCATCTGTCAGCCGCTTCCTGAATCCGATCAACTGATAGATACCTGCCGATGGGTTAATCCTCTCGGTTATGGAATCAATATTGATGATTCAGAACACTATGGCACTGAGACCAAAGCTACCCATTGTAAGCTGTCCATCCGAGGTAAGTTTCAATTCTGTACTCTGGGCCATAACAATAATGCTCTACCGAGTAAATTGTACGAAATTGAATTGATAATGTCAAAGAGCATTTAGAACATTCAATCAGTTGGGTACACAAAGAAATGAAAAAACAGAAAAATTTCTCTTGACTCTAACAAAATGAAGACACGGGAAAAGCAAGAACACAAGAAGTGCCTTAATAATCGAGACCGTCAAATATTGTGAGGCTGCAATTTTTTGTCTCTTGAAAACAAGAAGGCACCTGAGGCAATATTTTTCTTCCTCGGCGATAAAAAAATTTAAAAAAAAGTAAAATCCTAGCTGAACCAATCAGACTCGCGAAGATTTGATTCTCGTCGTCGCAGAACAAACGAGAGCTCTCTCTCTCTCTCTCTCTCTCTTTCACTCCCCTGCTCGCGAAAAACGTCGGGGTGAAAAAGACAAAGATCCGAGGGAGAAAGTAAAACACTGCGCTCTCGGTGCCACTGTCGTTCTCTCGTTCGCCTTGTCGTTTGTCTTTTGACGGAAAAGTCCATTGTTTGCCACTGCCGTAACTGCGCGCGCTAGTCTTGCTTCTTTTCTTTTTCCGCATCCGTCGCTTTTTGACGTTCCACTCCGACGAGACTTTTACTCGTGGAATTCCATCATCGGAGCTACACTCTGATGGTTACTACCGAAGCTACAGCTTGTCGTGGATGATTCCGCAGAATGGCTTTGGTATACAAGCTTGCAGGGAGAGAAGGAGGCTTGAATCAACTGCCTCGACAAGTTCAATAAGACAGTGTCAGGGAAGACAATCTCTCGACTTGGTTCATCCGATGATTGAATTTGTGTTTTTCCTTGGTCGATAACTTGGCTCGATTGTAGAAATATATCGAGAAAGAAATAAGTTTTCTTACTACTATTAGACTGATTAACTGCGTTTTGTCGAGCGTTAAATTAATAAAATATACTATTCTAATTCATAAAATAATTGAACACGAGGTGATAATATGTGTTGTTGTTGTTTACAGCTCATGATAAAAACGATATTGGCAAATGGTATTGTTATGCACGCTTTGTCAATGCACCGGAAGAGGAAAGAGATGAAGTAATCGTGATGGCCAGTCAACATTTGAGCTTTTCCAAAGCTAATCTCAGTCTAATACTCGGTATCATACTGTGCATTTCTTTAGCTTCTGTTCTGCTTGTACTACAAAGATTAAAGTTCCGATCCAAGCCTGATGACGAAGATGTTATTCTAGAAAAACCGAACACGTTTGCTTGAGATGTGATCGAAGATGTTTGTACCTGCATATCGCATGAAGCTAAATGAACATGGGTGTTATAACGATGTATTACTTTTTTTAAAAGATGTGCTGTAAAAATGTAAGAGGCAACTATACTTATTAAAGTTTGAATCACATTGAACTGATGCGTATGTTTGATGCACGAAAAAATGCAGTAGATTTAGGTTACGGTAATTAATAATAATTTTTAACTTCTTAGGTTAACTTAAGTTACGGTAATAATAATTTCTAACTTCTTAGTAAGTCCAGAAATTAAAAGTACATATTTATAATCATACGTAGTTTTAAGAATAACAGACTATTAATTAGTTTCACAACTATATTTAATTTTGTACAAAAATAGAGAGATAAAGTACATTATTAAAGTTAACTTACATATGCCACATTTGCAACTGAAGATATATTTGAAATTTTGAATCTCTTTTGGAAAAAAATGAAGTCATAGGACGTTTTTATACTACTATCGATTGACCATAAAAATACGTAATATTTCTGTAACTAGTGTTGGAATAATAAACATTTTTTATGAATGCAATGATTGAATTAAAAAACAGTGAACTATTTTTTCTATCAACAACTTGGAGAATTATTGCTTCAAGTTAACTAACGACTGTTCCATCAATAGATTATTATAAAAAAAATTTGATTGCATTTTAAGTATATATTCTATAAACGAGTCTTTAATTTTTTGGTTTTATGACAATTTAAAATTATAAAAACTTTCATTTATTGATACTTAAATTTACTTTTCTATCACGTTCAATTTATATTTTTATTAAACTTACGTACTTCGATGTACTTGGTAAATTTCAAGATTTTTCGTAACATTGCAAATTAGTGTAGAACGTCAACATTAACGTGACTGGATAATCTTTGTATCTATAGTGACTAAACGACAGTGAATTGTATAAAAAAGTTTTTTTCAGATAAAATATACACAAGATCTACAAGCAATGTATTCAACTAAATTACAACTAAACCTCATATTATATAATGTATTATATACTTTGGAAAATTGATGTATCAATTGTTTCACGAAACGTACAGCGCAATCACTCCAATGTATAATCGATCAAATCTATTCATTAAACGTATCGGACCAAGTCAATCGAGCCTAACAGATTGTCTCAAAGTAATAGCCGGCCTACCTCATTCGTCAATATCAACCTCCAGCGTGCTAACACACGCACTCACTCACGTCCTCCATGATACATCGTTCTCATAATCCATCAAGTTCACATGTGCAACCTACACAGGCGGACCATCTACACTAAAATCGCCAAGTTATTTGGAAAAAAATTGGATCACTCGATGCGACAAAATACTCTTGTATAAAAGGAAAAATATAAGAAAAAACACAAAGGAAACAAAAAGCCTCCCGTGCGCGCGAAGCGTTAATCTCCTTTCCATTATCCGTAATCCAGGGTCGAGTAGTCACAGTAATGGCTCTCTGCCGAGTTCCCGATAAAAGGGCCTTAGCCGCAAAATCTCCGTCCGAGCTCAAGAGCGACTCGCTAATGCTACCCACACTTGGTAATCCTTCCCGTAATTACGCATACGTATGCGTATTTTATACGCGTGGGTATACTAGGCGTACGGACGCGCCTACGAGTATTCATGTGGCTCGTACCGTTAAAAGTCGCGAAACTGGGTCGGCTGTTACTACTTTATAATGTACGAATAATACAGATACGTGTGCGTTGATTTTCAGATTTCTAGGCGGCGGAGGTAAAGAGGATGGCTGCTTGCCGATTACTTTTTTTTTGCTAGACTGTAATCCCGCAGCTTTTCATGCACTGGTAAAGTATCAGCGGCTGTATTACCGAATTTTGAAAGTCACTTTGAGGATAAAGCTCGAGGTGATGTACGTGAGGGTTTATCCGCAAGGATGGGATCCGATTTTTTTTAGAGTTTCATGCACGAATACTCCAGAAAACTTTCGAAACATCCATTCTACCTCTTTATTTTATTATTTTTTTGATAAATTTTTTGTGTAGTTCAAGGTATTGCAATTTAAGGTTTGTTGAGATACTTTGTAATCATAACTTAATAAAACATCAATATTTACAATTCTCTTCTCGATTATTACTTCACAGTTTTCCCGTCCAATCTATCGTCTAATTGAGAAATATAAAAAGAAGAAATTGTTTTACGTAAATTTAATTGAGCAAAAATCTCACCTAAAAAAAGACATAACCTGAAAGCTAAGAAACCAATCTGTAGCTGCTTTTACAACTGAACAATCGCAACGACTCGAGCATGACAGTTTGACAATGGAGGGAAAGAAAGAGATTCAATATATAATGAAAAAATTTAATTTTTATTAACAGTTGTAATTAAATGTAATGAACCGGAAATCATTCCATATAAAATCTAACCCATAATCAATACATTTTATCCATTGCTGAAGATGACTGTTGATTTTTTTTCTCCAGATTGTTTAGTTAAAACGACGTAGCATATTGAGAATATATCGCTTTAAGTACAACTGTACACAAAGATTCAAAGTACTTTTTTTAGATTCATAAATTTATTCCTCGTAAGCTCTATTACTTGAGTAAATCTAAAGCATAAAAGATATCCATAAAAGTATGAATGGAAATGATTTCCAATGTTACTTCAGGCACTCACTTTTTTCCAGATAGTATAAAAAGTCGACCAATAATCATTACCGTACACGATAACCCTCTTTTTGCTGCATTTCGCAGAAATTGAATTTTTAATGCCAGCCAAGTAAAGTCCTCGAAGCCGAACGAGCAAGAGAATAAAGAGTGGAGACAGCAAAAATTCCATTATGAGACGATTTGCACTACTGCTGCTGTTACCGGCGTAGTGGACGAGTTCGTTGGCATATTTAATTCGGTGTGTGCTTTGGATAAAAAGAGACATTGGCCGAAGCCGAGTGAGGGATGAGAACAAGAGAAAATGAGCGAAATTCATATATATAGAGGTATAAAAGTCGGAGAGTCAGGGATCCGAGGTACGCTCTTCTGTTGACTCTGACTATAATCCGAGGAATATCATCCGATATGAATGGGAAGTTATCGGCTGGATGGATAATAATCCTATACATTTATAATTTTTTTTTTTTTTTTAATTTGTCGAGCAAATTTTATTTCATCAAATTCTACGCACATCGATGGTATCTTTATAAAAAACAACCCTTTTTTTAATTGACATGGTTTTCTAGAAGTGTTTCATCTTTATTATTAATTTTGTTGAATTCCCGAGAGAAATGTAGCAAAATGTATCTACGTGGTTTCAAAAAAAACCTAAATGTGTACTTCAATATCGAACTTGGAACAAAGTTTCGCAGTCAATCCAAATAAGTCACGTGTTCTGTGGATCGCCAATATTCTGATCAAAGAATGTTCACTCGTCTGCACAATTGTGAAGACACGAGAAGCGCCGAATGAAGGAAAAAAAGCCCTCACGGTCAGAGTAAACTTTGCGACAGTTTCGACGTGTGCCAGTAATTTCGCTGGATTAGTACATAGGTAGGGCTGATTGTCCCCGGGCAGTATAGCTGCAGCAAGGAGTTTCTCCGATTGCGATAGTGTATAGCGGCAGTTGTAGCAGTTTCAGATGTGTATTCGCAAAACCGTACTTGACCCGGACTCTGTGTACAAGGTAGACATGGGAACAATCTCAAGCTGCCAGACTGCATTTCTCCGGATCAACGACATGTAGCCAGGCGGTAAATAATCCAAAGATAACAGGTAGAAACGATAACAGCAAGAACTGCTTATTAAGACGGCAGTATAAAGAAAAACTTACTTGACAAAAAGCTTTATTTTAATAAGCTCTATAACTTATTTATGTATTCAACACTTGAAATTTTAATTTCTTTTTAACTTTTTTAAAATGATCTCTTCTGAAATGGATTGTGAAATAATTTCCTCAATATATGAAACCAAGTCTCACTCTAACAAAGAGACCCAAAGTCAAAACATTGGCCAGGTAAGGTAGAGGGAGGCGTAGAGTCAATATTTAAAACTAGGACTGTCGTTATATTAATTTTACATTGTGGGCTTCGTTATCATGAGTGATTCAATAATAGTTTTTTAAAGTGATTTAGTCGTAGCTACTAAAAAAGGTCAGTCTACATAAAGGCATCAAAGAACGACGTACTATTCAGTTTCAATCAAGTATTCATAAAAAATTAGTTACTTCAACTTAGAAATTGGTATGTACTTTGGATAAAACGCATTGTTTTTAAATTGTTTATGTATTTTACGTTAAATTGCTAGTAACTTTTGATCAGGAGATAATTTTTTAATTTTATTAAGTCTCCAACCACCTTAATTGGACATGTAAAGACAAAGAGAAAATTTTTTTTTTAAATGATCTTGAACGAATGATTTTTCAGAGTTATAAAAATATCGATGTATTGGTACAAGAAACAATTAACAAGGCAATTTTTTTTTTATTACAAACGTCATAGAGGCAGAAATGCAATTGTATTCATATGCCAAGCAGACTAAAAGAGCACGAGACTTCATAACTATTCAATCACTTCTAAGATAATTTATTAATTTTTAGTTTTGTCTAAAAAATTTTACCTGTATTGTTCATTAACCAGTGGTTCCATAATCATCGCATGGTGTCTCCATAAAATCTATGATGCAACCACTAGGACAACAATTTTTTCGCTTACTTCTTTTAGAATATTCTTTTTATTCTTATCTTAAAATTAATCTAATAGAGAGAAATTCTTTGTCTTTCAAAACTATTTGTCTTGTGAATAAAATGTAGTACTGTCACTATTAATTTAAGGAAACTAAATTTTTTGAGTTAGCTGTTTTTTTACTGTAACTTTCCGTTGACTGCTTCTTTTACCTATCCTAAGCATCTATAAAAATACAATGCAAAAAGTGTCCAAGTTCCAAGTATTACAATTTGTACAAACGAAAGTTCTCATACTCATGAAAAAAAAATTTTCTTTTTTCATAGAGTTTTAGCAGAGTCTGACAAGCAACGATAACACAATGGCAAGCGACGCTCCATTCTTGAAACTCTGCCGTTCAAAAGACGCCCTGGGCTCGGGCGACACTTATCTTTTCCGTGACGTCCTACCGGTCAAGCCAACGATTTTCAACGATATCTTCGAAGAAGTGAATTGGAACGAGATAAAATTCATCGAGGGCAAAATCGTTCCCCGTGAAATATCCATCCAGGCAACCATCGCGATGGAAGATGGACACGAGATCGAGCCGATGTATCGGATTGCGGCTGTCATGCCCGAGCAGATACCCTGGACGCCCCGTGTGCTCGAGGTGAAGAATCAGATCGAGAAGCTCGTGGGACAGGACTTGAACCACGGGCTGGTGCAACTGTACAGAAACAGTCAGAACCACATTGCCGATCATTCGGACAAAACCCTGGACATCCTCAAAGGCTCGAGTATCATCATTTATAGCCTGGGGGCGACCAGGACGATGGTCCTCACGCACAAGAAGACCGGAGCCGCTCAGAGTGTGAATCTGTTGCACAACTCATTGCTTATATTGGGCTGGCAAACTAATCGCGAGTGGT